AATGTGTATTCACCTAGCTTTAAATGTATTGCTTGTGTTTTATTATTTTAAAGCTGTAAAATCACCAGAAGATGATTATTAAAAATTAGCTTAAATTCGAAACTACACTAAGAATGTTTTTCTTGCGTTTATTCACCCATTAACAATCAAATTTAAATGACAATTTACTTTATTATTTAATTCAGCAATCCAAAACATGCACACAAGGACCATTGCCGATCTCGATGAACCACAATTGGATAAATTACTAATCATGTGCCTGGTCTAATTCCCTGGCAATATGCATGACAGTTTGTTCTTGCTTTGATTTGGTGTTAAATGTGTACTCCAGTGTATTTATTCAGACTTGTTGTCTTCCAGCCGACCAGGTGGACGTCCACCTGCTGCGCTGCCAGCAGCTGAGGCTCTACATCCTGAAGGCCGGCCGGGCGCTGCTCTCTCATCAGGACAAACTCCGACAGATCCTCTCGCAGCCCGCCGTGCTGGACATCGGCCCGAACCCCAGCGGTGAGAGCAACTGGAAACTGATGCTGTTCAGTAGGGCTGCTCGATTATGGCAAAAATCATAATCACGATTATTTTGGTCAATAATTGATATCACGATTATTAAAAACGATTATCCATTTACTTTGAAAACATCCATTTATAAAAAAAAAAAAAATGTGAACAGTATGTTTTTGACAGTTGATTACCCTGAACTTTAAGTATAATTCAACTAAAAAAACAATAATATATATATATTTTTAAATGAAATAAGAAAAATAAAGAAAATCATTTTATTTCGATTATGTTGTTTTCATAATCGTTGCAAGCCAAAATCGTAAATGCGATTAAAATACGATTAATTGAGCAGCCCTAACTGCAGTATAAGAAAATCCCCCTCTAAGTAACAATGTGGCCAGTGTGCGCTGCCAACCATCTTTTGTCCTTCAGGAAATAAGCAGCAGTAGTGGTGGAAAGTACGTTTTACTTAAAGGTGGGGTATTTAATTTTGGAGAAACCGGCTCGAGTGCGCTGGAATTTGAAAATACACAGCCGGAACAAATCTGCCACTTCCTTCAGACTTCCTTACAGAGCCCCTCCTCCAACACACACGAACGCGCACATGACCAATGAGGGCACGAGATAAGTTTGTGCACAGATGGAAGGCTGACAGGCAGGTAGGCCATCCAGTTATTTTAGCCGGGCCGGCTAAAATGCTTTTTACAGTACTACGGCTTCCACAGATGACATTTTTTTATGGATTTTTTGTCAAAGCACTTTAGATATTCATTGCTATCGGGATGTTTAGAGCATTCCATGGAATATAACAAAAAGTATATCTCGAGCCTGTTTCTCAAACTTTCCCACCTTTAAGTACAAGTACAGTTTTAAAATATTATAGTGTACTTTACTTACATTTCCATTTTGTAGTGGTGGAATGGAATAGGAACATTTACTCATGTACTGTACTGAAGTACAACTCTGAGGTTCTTGAGTATAACTTGTTATGAGATACTTCCACTCCACTACATTTTGGAAACCAATATTGTACTTTTTGACTCAGCTGGAATTATTTCACATCTTTATTTACTTTATAGAGTCAGATTATTAGCTAAATGTTAATCTACTTCTACATAAACATATTGACATATAATTCCGCAGATAGTTACTGCCTTGAGATATGTCACTGGTCCATAATGCGATAACATTTGGATTCATTGTGTAGCCCTACTCTCCGTAATGAGTACACTGAAGTGGAGGTGTAAAAACAGGGGACTGAGTTTGTGTTACTGACTAAGTTCATTGTTTGAGATTTATTTTTATTTTCAACTAATACAATTGTAATATTTACAGAGACAAGGCACAGACAAAAGAGTTAGTTGAAGTGAAAAGGCAGGAAGCATAGTTTATAATAGCCTTCCTAAAACTGCAAATCCCATGTCAAAATAACTACAAACTTTATGTCAAATAAGTTAGCAAAAAGAAGTCTCGAGCTAAGTCATGTACAGGGGCTTAAAAATACATTACAATACAAACAATTGAAAATACAGAGAGAAAAGACATATACGGATCACAAAATAATATTTACACTATATAATCATTTTAAAATATTTATAAAAAAACACGAAAGTCTGTTTTTTATTCTAAAATTCATATTTTTGGTTAACTCATAAATTAGAATCTGGAATTGACAAATAACTAATATCCTACTTTGATATTGTGCTAGCTATAATTTGGTAGTGTTTGTCAGATAGTTTATAGATCTGTATCACAGTGAACTTATATTTTTGACTCCTGTTTTATTTTCTATTTTGAGATGTTTCAATTTTATAATTGTTTATTTTCTACTCTTTTAATTTCGTATTATGTGCAATGCCTTGTTTTACATGCTGCTGTGACGAAAATATGACCAAATGTGGGATCAATAAAGTATATCTTATCTTATCGATTGTTTCTTTTGTTAGTAAATGATTCCTAAACGTCCTCCCCAGGCCAGAGTCCTGTTTGGACCAGCCCATGGACTCCAGCAGTGTCCACGAGGTGGTCCACGAGGTGGTCCACTCTGACTCCTCAGCGCTGCCAGGTGAGGCTCTGTCAGTCCTTCAGCCTCCACATCAAACCACACTTTATACATGATCTTCTGTTTCCTGTCCCTGTCAGCCAAACATCACGACCCTGACACCACCGAACCAATCAGCTGCGGCCTTCAGACTTTAGAGGAGTTGTTGTCGTGGAAACGAAGCGATGCGAACCTCTTTAATGTGGCAGCTGTCCCTTTGGCCCCTCGGGACCCTCCCCTCACCGCGAGTGCCCGCCGGACCCTGGTGTCTCACGACATGATGGGCGGCTACTTAGATGACCGGTATGGAAAAGAGTTCTGGTTACATAAAGACTTCTAGATATTAGTGAACCCGGAAATGTTGAGTACCGCAACGTTTTATGTTAGAAATATAAAGTACGGGTCCCCAGCACATAGAAACTGCCAGATGCTAACTCCACACTTAATCACCTTCTGGTAATAAAATAACAAATATACAAGCTTAAACCAAAGTCGTGTTATTTAATAAAGAGTTATAGCATTTAACAGAATCAATCATATTTCCAGCTGGAAAGGACAGAGGTCTTGCACTAGTAGATAGATAGTACCAGGATCTGACCCCGTTACACAGAAAAGCAATGTCATTTATACAGATGAGACAGAGGAAGGAAGGCAATCCACATTACAGTCCTAAATTGGGTGGGGGGCAGACAGAAGGGGAAGCACAGCATGTTAATTACAATTTTCTTTGCCTTTATTTATACAGGTGTAAAATCTCATTGAGACACAAGGTCTCATTCTCAAGAGAGACCTGTTCAGTGGTAACACCACCACACAAAGTTACAGACAGACAGGACACTAAACACAGAGGCAACACTCAAATAAAACATCGTAAAAAGTAATCATTGAAATCCATATACAGTAGTCAGATATAGCAGGTGCAAACACCCACAGAGGATTTCTCCAGCTTTTTTAAAATGGGTTTAAAATCCATGATGGGTATTAAAGTGGTCAGCTTAAGTTCCTGCTGAAGTGTGATCCAGGTCGAGGGGGCAGAGTATGATATGGCTTTTTTCCCAAGCATCGTGCGTACTGAGGGGACGGACAGAGTGATGTCATTTTGAGATCGTAGTCTATAGCTGTACTGTGTGTGTGATATGTAAGTGGATAGGTAGAGGGGCAGCAGTCCAAGCATAGCGGTATAGATGAATTTGTACCAGTGCAGAGATCTGCGCATTGATAATGATGTCCAGTTGACTAAAGAGTACAGCGTGCAATGGTGTGTGAGGGGTTTACAGTTGGTTATGAACCTCAGAGCCCCATGGTAAACAGCGTCCAGCAGATGAAGGCAGTGAGCTGAGGCGTTCATGTACACAACATCCCCGTAGTCCAAGAGCGCCCAAAATGTGGCAGCTACAAGCCGTTTCCTCGCACTTGTGGAGAAGCAGGCCCTCTCCACAAGTTACATCCATATTATAATTGCCTGACAATGGTCAGGGCGACACCCTTCGGTCTGAGAACATTTCATAGCGAGGAAACCTACATATATATTGAATCACTATAAATTCCCATCATATAACTTGCATATGTTGGGCAATTTGCAAGATTAGAATCATTATTGTTAATTAAAAGGCATCATAGCCTAAACAATAGTAAAACAAGGACTTGGCCGGTTTGGACAGTTTCTGAGTGGTTTGGGGGGTTATTGAGGATGCTGAATCAATTTTTGACATTTTCAGGATCAAAAATTGCAGTTTTAACCAGAAATTGGCCCTATTTGTACTCTGTGGGCTGATTTTGACTACCATGAGTTGTGTTGTGACCATTGGATTAGAGAGCACAACATGAAAATGATTGTGTCTACTATTGATCAGATCTAAATCAGTCCACAAATATTGGCATTTTCTGGTTAAAACTGCCATTGTTGATTTTGAAATTGTCAGAAATGGATTCAGCATCCTCAATAACCCCCAAAACCACTCCAACATTGTCCAAAACTGCCAAGCTATTTTGTAACTATAGTTCCATAGGCTATAATGCCATTTATTTTAATTAACAAAAATACTACTAATAATACACAGTATTTATATAGCGCTTTTCCTGGTTCTCAAATACGCTTATTAACGCAACTAATGCTAATTGTGAAAATTACCCAACATCCGGCAGTGATTCCATACAGGAAAATAAAAAGATGAAGAAACATTTCAAAAATAAACGTTTTAAAAGGTATGCACAATTTAATTCGATTGAAAAGAAAGAAAGAAAAGTGTCAATAGGATCGCTTCAACACTTCCAATAACTACGTTGAGAGCTCAATACGTCCAACAACCAAAAGCACGCACAGAACATGCCAGGCATATTTATTATTCCATATCCTAGCTGATTGTTCTCCATTTCATCTTGTGCTGTGCCACCTTTGGATCTTTTGTGGCAATCATTTTTTCCAAAGTAAATTGTCTTTGCAATCAGTTTTTGTTGTCACACACTCTTTGTTGTTCAGCTTCACCCAGGGCACACACAGCGATGCTCCGTATGCCTTCTACCACTGGCAGTACATTGATATTTTCAACTACTTCACACACAACATGGTGACCATTCCTCCTGTCGTGTGGACCAATGCAGCACATAAACACGGAGTCGTCGTTCTTGGTGGGTAAAGAGCAAAGTAATCCTGAGTTTGGCTTCCAATCTTACATCCTTTCAAATATAGTTTGATTGCATAACAGTGTCAGTGTTGCCATAATGGGGCTTCCTGAACTCCTGCTCTCAGGGACCTTCATCACAGAGTGGACTGACGGAGCGGTGGTGTGCGAGGCCTTCCTGAAAGACGAGGAGTCGTACCGGGCGGTGGCTGATAGGCTGGTCCAGATCAGCCACTGCTACGGCTTCGACGGCTGGCTCATCAACATCGAGAACTCCCTCAGTGTGAGTAAAACTTATCCCAATCCATCTACTAATCCTCTACCTTGCACAGATATTCTTGGTCCCCTGAAGATGAAATATTTGAATCAGAATCAAGTTTATTGTTGGTGTGGATTGGGACATTTGTGAATCTGTGACATTTCTGCACACATTTCTGCACAACCCTCCACTTTAAAATGTAATATAATAAACTGCTGTTTGTCACATACTGTATTGTCATATATATTTGTAACCTTCTGTTACAGCTTATTTTCGTATGTTTATGATGGCACCATCATACACCAGAGCAAATTCCTTGTATGTGTAAATGCTCCTGGCAATAAACCTGATTGTGATGGTGTGATGTCTTGTGTGTGCAGGAGAGTGCGGTGAAGAACACTCCTCTGTTCCTGCAGTATCTGACAGAGCAGATGCACGAGAGAGTGCCCGGCAGCCTGGTGCTGTGGTACGACAGTGTTCTCGAAAAAGGAGAGCTAAAATGGCAAAACGAACTGAACGAGTCCAACAGGTAGAGAAATGACAGTTAGAAACAGACCTCAATTCAAATCAAGCATTCTGACCATTTAGACCAGTGGTTCTCAACTGGTGGGTCGCGACCCAAAAGTGGGTCGCTGACCCGTTTCGAGTGGGTCGCAGATGTGTGAGTGAAGAACAAAAAATAAAAAATAAAAAATTGGAATTTTTTATTTTTTTTTTAAGTCAAAATAAAAGTCAAACTTTTATTTTGAAGGCCCGATTTTCTAACGCTGTGCATGCAGTAGGCGTTGGACTGGAAGTACCGGAGACCATAAACGGTTTTGAAAACTTCTGTCACGTAGTGATCATCTTCTCAATAAAACATCTTTGCTGATGTTTTTTTCGAGTCTTCTGGCCAATCAGAATCAAGATTGTTGCCTGAAGTCCCCACGGAGAATAACTTTGTGGTATAACTATTCTTTATACATCCATGGGTACAACTTCAGATACAAATTAACACATAATGAAATATATGTTTGATGATTGACAGGTCACAGAACAATTTAAAGTAATTCACACAGACTATCTCCTCTTTACTCTTGAGGAGCAGCAAGATCAGCTGTCAGAACTAAGTGAAAAACAAACAATGGCATAAAATATTATTAATAT